TCTGGTATTTGAGAGGAAGACCCCTGACCTCACCTGTTTGTCCTTCTGCCTTACCCCTTGACTAGGACCCTGCCAGAAACTTGCACAGCTCTCAGGTCGCCCACCACCTTAGCAGTCTGACTCAGTGCGTCGTGCCTGCATCATATCAAACTGAGACCTTGCATCAGAGCACAGAGCTGAATGCTGGGTGGCTGGAAGGTTACTGCAGTGATCCTAACCAGATGACTATTGTATGATCAAGAGCTAGTGATCCACATAATAGTTAACCTGAGAAGGTGCAGGCCTGAGCTGTGCTATGCTGGACATATAGCTCTGCTTTCCAGCCTGTGTTGTGCTGTGCATATCCCTTGCTAATAAAATAGTTGGCTAACTCTAACAAAGCAGGCTGTAGGTAGCTCCCACTTGCCACTGGTGATTACAGCATCTGCACGTCTGTATCATAAAGTGAAGCAGCAGGTTCCCATACGGACATCCTTTTGTTTGATGGCAGAAATGATGAATAGAATTATTTTCTTCTAAAAAAATCCTGTAAGAGCTCTAAAGACCAAGACATTGGTGCAACCTCCCTGCAGAGGGGATCTGCACAATACGCCATGCCTTGACTGAAGGGCCCTCTGGTTCTGTGCAAATCAGAGTTCCCAGCACCTAAAGGACATGAACTATCCATGCTAACTTCTTTTTCTTTCTGGCATTAAGTTCAATAAATGAAATTTTAATCAATATCTTGTGGAATGAGAGTGCCTTTCTCTCTGGGAGGAATAGCCCAAAGTTGATTACCTCAGGATTCAGACCTGTCTATTTAACAATAAGCTGTAAACCCTGAACTCCAGATGAAAAACTGCGATCTTGGAACCCAGATGGTTGCTGGGGCTTTACAACTTATGGCTGAGGTTAGATTTTAAAACCTGTGCCCTGAGCAGTAAATGTGTAAACTGTAAATCCTGAATGATACAATCTGAGTTCCACAAAATTAACAAGTAAACCACAACACCCAAGTGAGAAATCCTCAACAAGAAATTCCAAACAAAAAACTGCACAATAAAAGCTCCAAACCCTCAGTTTCACGCCAAGAAAAAACAAAGCACATGCGAGCAGAATAGTCAAGAGAGGCCAAGGAATTTCTGTCCACAGCTTAAAACACGTCCCCTTCAGTTATGACCGCAGCAGAACTGTAAGACAGATCACCAACACTTTACAGCTACTGTTTATAAGCTTGCTCTTAGCCACTGTTCAGATGTGGCAATATGCAAGAAGCAATACATTGGATCGCACTAAGCTGCACTTCCACTGAACCTATCTGCCATTGAACCAACCTACTGTGAGCACTAATTCGTGTGCAGCACCAACAAATGTCTGTGTTATCCAGGCTATCCAGAAGATGGCACACAGTGTCCAGAACAAGGGTAAAACACTACAGATGGGGAAATATTTATGATGCAAACTAGACATGTTTTTAGCCTATTAACCACATTGTGAGCATTTCTAGTCCAAGCTACCTAACCACTGGGCTGTGTCAGCCTTTGGCAGATGGTACTCCTCACGGAAACTGCAGCGCAGACAGACACTGCAATGTTAGAAGTGTGTGTTTGTCTGACCTGGCATGAAAAAACATGTAACACAGAAAGGAGGAACAAGCAGCCCTCTCGCCTATCCGCTTTCTCATTCAACACAGGCAACAGAAAGCAAGCTAAGAGCTCTCAGACTCCCAGGCAACGATCCACTGCCATGCCCAAGAGCAGTGCCTACTCAGCCTGCTGCCACCAGAAACACCCCTCATTCACCTGAGAGCAAGGAAGCTAGCTCGCAATCCAGCCCTCTGTCTCCCACACCCCACCTACGCTGCTTCACTTAACGCTGCCATAGCCCTTCTCCCACAGAAACATCAGGCACACAACACCCAAATTTTTTTGTCTCCTCCAGACCATTCAGAAAACAGCCTCTAAAACTCCAAGCGCTAGAGAGACTAAGCTAATGGGGAACCGACTGTAGCCAGGACAATGAGAAGCAAAGTTTTGCTTCACTTCCACAGGCTGCCTAACACCCACAAGTAGCTCAAGTCGAACAGACGCTGCTAGAAAGCCCTGTGACTCAACAGTGTTCCTGAAGTTGAGGCCAGTGCAAGCTGTTGCTGCAGAGAGGCAGAAGAGGAGCAGAATGAGGCTGATGCAAGGAAGACACCTGTTTACATGAAGACAGATCCAACAGGAAATCAGGCTCTGTGCTGGATCACATCCATGAGTCAAGCTGCACCACGTGACAGCCCCACCTGGGCACAGGCGAGCAGGAGGCAATAACGGCCTCTGCAGAGGACAGCCTGCATCCCAGTGCGGAGGACAGACAGCAACAGCAACTCCAGACTACCGGACTACAGGCACCTGCCCTAACACCCAAGTACTCGGAGACTCCTGGCACCTTCCCCACGAGCCTCTTCATTATCAGCCATACCCTCCTCATAGCATCTTGGCCCCCTGGTGCTCCCCCAGTGTACATCCACAGCCCCGTGCCCCAGCAACAAAAATCTCCGGAGAGGTGTTAAACTTAGTCCGAACGAGGCAATTCCACAGCACCTTCTGTTCACTGCTGATCGACTCCAGTGAGCACCCACCAGCTCTTGGCACCTCAAAGGCCTGACAAAGCACAAAGGAATGCCAGACTTTCAGCTTGACAGAGGAACGGGAATCCAGAAAGGGGACGGGGAGACAGAGGAATGGAAAGACGGATTTACGGCATCTTTGAGGAGTGTTTAGGAGTCAGTAGGAGCTTTGAGGAACAGTTTGGAAGAGGGGGCTGCTGGCAGCTTTGGGGCAGCATCTGGGGAGTGTGAGGCAGGCTTTAGGCATATTTGGGATCTGTAAGGCCACTGCAGATCCATTGCAAGTAGCAGAGAAAATGACAGCACAGCACGAGGCCTGTGCTAGCCATTATCAGCACCCAGTGCCGCTGACAGCTGCAGTCTGTTGTGGCATAACTTCATCAGCCAGAGCTTTCTGGGGAGGCATAGCAAAGTCCATTACCCCCACGGCTCCTGCAGCGCTGGCACCCACAGACAGTAGCTGAGGTGCTGACACCCACGTGCACACAGCAGCCCAAGCAGGGCAGTCCCCCTCCCCTGCCAACTCTAACCCCCTCTTTCCTGCCTCACTCCACCCTGCAAGGTGGACACCTCAGACACCCTCTCAAACTGACCCTCCAAACCCCTCAACCCTGTCCCGGACATGACCACTAAGCCCTAAAAGCCCTGATAAGCGCAAAATTACCTGCTCCTCTTCTCCACGAGCACTGCAGCTGGAGTAAAGCAGCAGGCACTCCTGGATGGCCTTAAGGCCTGGGGCAAGTTTCTCATGCGTGTGGTAGCTAAGGGCCCTGGATGTGACAGCAGTGACTCCAAAATCACAGAATGGTTGAGGTGGGAAGGGACCTCCAGAGGTCATCTAGTCCAACCCCTCCCCTGAAGCAGGGCCACCTAGGGCCGGCTGCCCAGGGCTACGTATGGATGGGTTTTGCCTGTCTCCATCGATGGAGACTCCACAACCTCCCTGGGCAACCTGTGCCAGTGCTCGGGCACCCGCAAAGTGTTTCCTGATGTTCAGAGGGAACATCCTCTGTTTCTGTTTGTGCCCATTGCTTCTTGTCCTGTCGCTGGGCACCACTGAAAAGAGGCTGGCTCCATCTTCTTCACACTCTCCCTTCAAGTATTTATATACATCAGTAAGATATTGGCACCCCACCGCCCCAAACCGCCTTCTCTCCAGGCTGAACAGTCCCAGCTCTCTCAGGTTCTTCTCATGCGGGCAATGCTCCAGTCCCTTCATCACCTCGGTGGCCCTTCCCTGGACTCTTCCTGGTATGTCTGTGCCTCTCTTGCACTGCCCAAAAGACCTCCTGTGCTACAGGCAACAGCCCAGATACCCTTCCCACCCAAAAAAATCCAGATTCTCTGACACAGGGAAGAAGCCCCAGATAACCTGAGTAAGCAAATGGCCCCCAAAGAACTGAGGAATGCACCAGTGATGCCAGCACATCCTCAGAGTCCCTGGAAAAGCCACCCAGACAAAAAAATATGGTTCCACACGCACCACGACAGCTCTGGGAACACTTAGGAAAATCCCCAGAAGCAATGGATGTGGCTCTGGAGAACCCTCCCAAGGAGACACAGCGTCAATGAGCCCACCTCCCAGCATCTAGAGTGCTAGGAACATCCATCTCCTACAGCAAATCACAGAAGTGGCACTGAGGAGCTTTTGTGCTCATCTGAAATGAGCTATAGCATGACACTCTTCAATTAGCCCTAACAGGATTACCTGGTATCAATCAGACATGTACTGTCCATCATGAGATGTGCTGTATTAAAAAAACAAAAACAAGCAAAACCCCCATACTCAAGTGTTTTATCTCTGCTATCAAAGTTGTTTGAATTGATCACTTACATACAGCACTATAATCAATACACAGATTTCCAAGGCACCTTAAATTTCTCAGTGATCTTCATTAACAACAATCTGCAGTTCTGAAGAGAGATGATAATGGTACGAATTGCACTGCATGAGCAAGTGTGTACCTACTCCGCATCGCAGTGTCAGAATGCATGATTGGGGTGGCTTAAATTAACAAGCTATTGCCACAGTGATTCTGCTCAAAGTTTCTTCATCTCTTTTGCTTTTTGCACTCCATGCCAGCATCGCATTCAAGTATCTGATTACAAACTTTGCCATTCCAGGGAAAGCACTAAGAAACCTATCATTAAAAGAAGTCCCTGCTTAAGCCTTTTACAACAGCATCGCTGCAGTTGCCCCAGCTCTTGGAGAACTTTTACGTTAAAACATCAAGAGGTCTAAAAAAAAAATACACAACTGCACAACAACTTTAAAGCAAAAGAAGAACATCAAATGATTCTGGAAGAAAGTGAAGGAATTTAGTTTCTACTTTGCTCCATTTATACAAATTAAGAACTGAGATTCTTAAATATTTAAAGCATGAAAACAGAAGTGAACTATTATCAATGAACAAAGACATCTTTGACAATTCATCTTTTAATAGAAAGTACTTAAATTATATTTTTAAAACAACGCTAAGAACAGCACAGCTCAGCTGTAAATTTGCAATCTGACAAGTATCTCATGGCATTTCTCATGCTTCTTTTTGTTTTTGCAGTATAAGAAACTCAGAAAAAAACTTACTTCCATTACGGAAAAACAGCAGACAGGAAGACAGTTAAACTCATCAGCCAAGGATTTTCAAATTACCTATATGCTGCACAGTAGACAAATACTCACCCATCTACACGCCCCCCGCCGCGCCAAAAACCCCCAGCAAGATCTCTCAAAAATAACGTCTCAGTGCTTTGGATTAAATGAGGACCAACTGAACTGATTTTGTCGTCTTGGCAACACTAAATCCAATGACAGATCTCTTTGTTCTTTTTCTGAATCCACCAGCTGATAGCCAAGCATGTTTATAGCACCTTTGCAAACTTCCTGTATTTTCTTAATTTTCTGGAAGGAAAGAACATTTCTCCAGGCCTGTGAAACACTAACTGCATCTCGAGATGTGATTTTGAACGCTTCTTTTTTTTTTCCTGGTCCCTGTCCATGTGTGATATTATAGATCCAGCTTTTGAGCGTGGGAGTCAAACTAAGATCTGCAAATTTATACATTTCTGAGATTTCTGATAATGGATCTCTTACCAGGTCTTCAAAACGGATCAATAAATAGCGATCTTTAAGGAAATTAGGTGGTTTTAGAGTAGCTGTTTCATAAATCTGAACATGACTTCTACAAATCTCTTGCATTACTTTGTATTTAGTGTCTTCCACTTTAGTGCCATTGGTACTCAAAACAATTCCATTGTCACGGGCTAATGCTTTGACTGATTGTTCCCGTGACTTGACAACTGCCCGGGGGTCACGGACCAAGTGAATAATTTTGAGATTCAGGGATGGATCAGTGAGAAGGGGGTAGAGGACCTTCAAGTCAAAGAATCGAACCTCCTTGATGACAACATGGCTGTAGGTTTTACAGGCTTCCTCCACCTTGCTGAATGGGTACCGTCCACAAAGAGTCTTGCATGCCATCTCACTGGTTATGTCAGTACGTTGAAAGGAGTCACAAGCAGGAGATGAACAGAGAGCCCGACTCACTGCCCACTGGAAAAGATCGGATAAGTTTCTTTTCCAAGGCATGTAAGCATCAAACACTGACATGTCACACAGAAAGACCGACCTGACTAGGTCCCGCACTGCCATGTGCAAGACCTTCGCACTGTTCTGGTACATCGTAACCCACACGTGCCATGCGGGCTCCATCAGGTAGAAGACGCTGGGGTGCTGGCTGAAAAGCTGACCGACGAAAGAAGATCCCGACCGCCAGGAGGAGAGAATGAGGATGTGGACTTGAGATGGTTTCTCCTCAGATTGAGGCACGAAGCTGCTGTACCGGGCATACATGAAGAGTAAGAATCCAGTCTGAACCGTAACAAAAAGTATAACCATTGTGCTAGGAATCCGAATCCTTGCCATTCTCACTGAGGAAAAGCAATAAAAAAAGCTGAAAGAGAAGGAAAATGCTGGTGAACCATTGCTCCTGTGGCACAATAATGATAAAATTTACACAATACAAACTCATGCATTAGTTCAAATATGCATGTACGTATTTGGTATTATCTGCTTCTTTACTCCATGGCACTGGGAGATGATTATCTGCAGGTGACAGGTGTCAGAAACTGAAAGAAAGTAATGCGTGACAGCAAGATCACGGCAGAAATAAGTTTGGAGCAAATGTTTGATGCTGAAGGAAACCTTGGGTTGATGGAGCTCAACTGTTAGGGGGAAAAAAGAAAATCCACAAAATATACAAAGGCTACAACTTGAATTCTGGTAAATACTGCTGAGGTAAAAAAACCCTTTCTGAATCACGCCACTGTACTACCATTTCAGTCTAACATTACAAGGGCTTCTATCCCTTAAAAGGAGTAGACAGGAACACCAGTAACTGTGGCTATTGAATCAAAAATCATCTTATCTAACATCAGCGCTGTACCCTGTGGTGACAGCTGGGCACTACACCAATTGATGCTTGTGCACAACCCTCTGTTTTCCAAATTGCAAGAGATGGGTGAAAACTCGCAACCTGAAGCCGCATCTGACCACGGATGTTAAAATGAAAAAGCAGCTGACGTGTGTCTCTGGACTGGAGCGCATATACTCCATGACTGAATACCCTGAGTTTGCATTTAAGGAATTACCCATTTGTGAGTTAGAATTAGTTTGCATGTAACTCCTGGATAATTTTAGGCGCGCTGACCCCAAGCGGACTTCTGTTTTACTTTGAAGTCAAAGTTCAAGCCACATGTGCTCCTCACAACTTTTTACTAGAGGTTTTTGGCACCTACCCCTTTGTGCTCTCCCTTCTGCAGATTCCACTTGTAAGCAGTCGATATATGTTAGCAGGCAGGTTATTAGGAAAATAAGAATCCTTGTGTATGCAGATCATCTCGAGAGTTTTACATATAAGCATTTGCTACCTAGCTGCATTGAGACAATTTTCTTCTTGTTACAGTGAAAGGTACATACATCAACACACTCTGGACTCTTGAAAGTAAACTACGCAGACTAGTGAATATAGATACACACTCATTTGACATAACAAATGCATTTAGTTCTTAGTGCGAGCCTAATGAAACATGAAAAAGACTATTAATTAGTACCAAAACCTGAAATAAATGGTCAAACAAAAGAGGTAGTAGAAATGGGCAATTTCGTCTCTTTCCACTGCCTAAATGCCTCTTCACGATACAAAGAAATTCTTTCTATCTTAAATGAACACAGTTTTGCTACTAAACTTTTTTTTTTAAGCCAAAAAACACAGTAGAAATATGAGCTGAGTAGGAAAAATGAATCAATAAAAGCACCTACCTTCAGTATTACACAGTATCTTGTAAGGAGAGTAAGGCAAATGAGTAAGGTACTAACTTGCATGCAGAAGTTTTTCTCCCAAAGTACCATCTCTTGCTTGTAAAACACAGAATAATTTAGGTTGGAAAAGACCTTTAAGTTCATTGAGTCCAACCATAAACCTAACACTGCCAACCCCACCACTAAACCATGTCCCTAAGTACCACATCTACACATCTTTTAAATACCTCCAGGGATGGGGACTCCACCACTTCCCTGGGCAGCCTGGTCCAGTGCTTGACAACCCTTTCGGTGAGGAAATTTTTCCTAATCTCCAATTTAAACCTCCCCGGCACAACTTGAGACCATTTGCTCTCATCCTATCGCTTGTTCCTTGGGAGACGAGGCTGACCCCCACCTGGTCAACCTCCTTTCAGGTCATTGTAGAGAGAAATCAGGTCTCCCCTCAACCTCCTCTTCTCCAGGCTAAACAACCCGAGCTCCCTCAGCCGCTCCCCATCAGACTTGTGCTCCAGACCCTTCACCAGCTTCATTGCTCTTCTTTGGACACAAAGTTCTGTATATTCTTTACATCCGCTCTATTTTATACCCACTCCGCTAAAAATGCCTTTTTACTGTTTTTTTATGCTCCCTACTTCACCATACAGTCTGTTTCTGTAGCTTAGCAACAGCATTTATTTATCTCTAAAACTATAGTTATCACTGAGTTTTTAGTGGTTGTGCTGCCCATCGAGGCATAGCCCTTTTCTCCAGCGGTTCCACATTCCCACCAACTCTGCGCAAATATCTGTGACACATGACTGCAAGAGCACCTTCCAGGATGAAAGCCATGGCCCCCTAAGCCTCTCTTGCACAGTCCCAATGCTTACCAGATGCTCTGCCAAGCCGTTTCAGTGTGCTAGCCTGGAAGACGGCTACCGGCTCATTTTTCTTCACCTAGTTCTTTAGCACTGAAACAACTCGGCACAGCAGTGACCAGCACTGGAGCTGGAAGAAGGTAGGGAACAGAAAGGCATAGAA